GTTGCCCGCCAGTTTTAATTGTCGTACGAATCGGCACACGCGACACTACGAGCCACTGCGCCCCCGACCGACCACCGTGCTCCGACGACGGCCCCACTGCGAAATCACGAAGCGACGACACCGCCGCTGTCTCCTACACGCCGAGCCACCGTTCGACGTGCAAACCCTTCAACCCTGTGCCCCACGCGGATCGCCGCCTGCGGGAGAATATTCTTCAAGTTATTTAAGGGGGAGAGACACCACACAAGTTGCACGGGGGGTGGGTGTTGTGTTTTGGTTTCTTGCTTTGGAACTGGGACGTTGTTTTTTTGTTTTCTCTCTCTTTCTCTCTCTCTCTCTCTCTGCTGGATCGTACGTGTCGTTTTTTCTTGAAATGGAAAGATTGAAACGCCTTCTTTGTTTATATAATTTTCTTTTTTACAAGTGGAGATATGAATAATGGAGACCGTAGGATAGTGGGAGTAGTATACGTAATGATTCACAGATTTTGGGGGTGTAAAGAAGTGCAGATTAATATTACTTATTTGGAAGGGAATTTTTTTTGTTTTTTATTGTAAGGATGAAGTTAAGAAGGGTTTTTTTCCACTATATTAAGTGTTAGAATGTTTAGGTACAAGAAAAAATGTTTGAGATAATAGAGTGGATTTGAATCGAGGATTTTCGGATTCGTAGCTGAATACTCTGCCTACTGTGCTATTCAGCTATTGTGTATAAATCCGCTTAATAATGAATGAATAGGTCTATGGTGCCACGAATATTTTTTTTTTCTTTCTGAACATAATTTGCTTCTGTATCAATGATTATTGATTACATAAATGTGTATTCTTGCTATAATATATAATTTCAAAACGATTTCTATGTAATTTATTTACACGCCAAACATTTAATACTAAACATTTAACATTAATACCAAAAAAGCTCGTCACTGCTCGTTAGTCAATTATAAAAATATCAAACTTTCAGCAGATATTTCTGAAAGTTTATTCAAACGACACGTACGATAACGTGTTATCAACAAAACAATCAAAAAGTATAAACAGTAAAGCTACGTCGGACATGCAACGGGAATAACGAGAATTCAAGTCTGAATGAAAAATAAAATTTCGAAGAATCACGAGTATTATGTACACGTGTTTCTAGGTTATGTGCTGCGTCGGGCTTTTCATGACCGGGCACCTATGAAATTTGTTAATTGAACTCTGATTTGCCGGGCATGGTAGGGTAATTGGTAAATCCGAGCGTACGCCTCTAACCACCGTTTTACCACCGCCAACACGGCGCCCGATACGTCCCCTCTATTAGCAGCCCTCTCTGCCATCACCGACGGCTATAACAGCAGCTACTTTTAATTGTTCCTCGAATCGGTGTGCACATAACGTTTACAATACCATCGTATCCTACACAGTCGTGATTTCGTTTTTCATCCGGAAGAAATTCCATTATTTTGCTCGATTTTACGTTGACCCCGTAATTTAATACCGTTGATTAAAAAAAAGAAAAAAAAACACGAGTGTTTATCACGTGCGGTATCTTGAACAAAGTACACTATGTATTTATTTATAGAAAACAAGAAGAATTTTTATCACTTTAACACTGTATATCCGGGAGAAATTGTATTTACTTCGACTAAATTATGGAACAACATTATGCACGAATTCATGCAGTCAGTTATGTTTTCGAATATTGTTTGTCATTGTCGACGTCGTATTTGGTCCGCGATACCGCAAGAAGGTCACCTTTCACTTTCGAATTATGTTATTCGGTTTTGCTTACTTTCCGAGGATAAATTTAAACCGATTCGTACGACAATGAAATGGATATTTAAAATATGGATAACTGAACATTTCTCCCGGAACGTCTTTCTTTCCCGACTAGGACAATACCGTCTGCATGGCGTCCATCATACGAACGTATAAACAATGGCGAAAGCAACGCGCGGAAAGTAACCAACGAAGCAACGCTTTTTCCCTTGGATACTTGTTTTCACGTGTACCAGTATCATGATACGACACAACACAAACATCGAACTCGCGGCAACAAATATCACTGATCGATTAAATTCTACAAATCGTTGCATCACATCAACAATTCTCTGTCCGAAGTTGGAAAAAATTCACAAACGACATGATGCACGATGAAAATAGATGGATATTCGAGGAACGCTAACTGTTTCGAACACAAACTAAAACAGGAACAGCTGATTCACTTCGCTTCGATATTTGACGAAACGTATTGATTTTTCTCGTACGATAGAACCGTTTTTGTATTTTGAATAATTTCACGACAACCGTGAATGTGAACGAGAAGAAAAACACTAAACACGACGTATACACGATTCGACATAAAAGATGAAAAAATAATGTCCAAATATATCATATACAGAGTGGCGAACGTCAAACGAGCAGCGTACACGATTAAGGTTAGAAAGGATTAGGTTAGGTCGAGCTGCCGTCTAAAGCGAGAAAACGCAAAGAAAATTCGAAAGAGGGACACGAGCGTATCAGTGACGCGAGAGACAGAGGCATAAGGACCTTGGCGGGTCGACAGACCCACGTCAAGAACGTGCGACGACCCCGACCCCGCGCAGGAGAGCAACCCCTTTCCTTACTCTCGTCTACTGCCCCCGTACGTCTCACTGTTCCACCTTTCACACCTTTTGTGCACATGGATTCTAACCCTTTTCCTGCTTACCTCACCCTCTCTAATAAGTTTACCGTTCCGTCACTGGTGCACTTCACACCCCTCCTTCCTTCTTCAACAACTACTACTACTACTATTACTACTACAACTACTAGCACCACCGAACGAACAGTACGGAACCAGAACAGAATGGGGTGTAGTACACACACAACATGTATATTATATGTATACACACGTACACACACATAAAACGGCGCACTCAACAACAGAGTAGGACAGCTGAGCCACCACTGCCCCACCAGTTTTATGTAAGAGACATCTTGCACCGCGTACACGGTACCTTCCGCGAGGGTGAAGCCTAACACGGGCACACGAACGATCGCGATACTTTACGTTAGAATTTACGCACTACACCACTGCACTAATCCGAAACTCCAGCTAGGCTACCCCATCGACGACAACAACAAATATGGCGAGCGAACCTCCTCCTACGCCTCACTGCTACGACTGCCGACTGACCGCTAGGTGGCGATCGGAACGCCGCCCCAACGACCCCTACCATGCTTCTGTTCGGCTCTGCTTCGGTCGTTCTCGAATCTTCTCGGATCTCAGTCCGTCCTTTTCGCGGCATTTCATAGAAATACGAAATATCTTAATGCAAAAATATACCTATTGAGAGATATCTAGTGAAAATTGCACTATACCAAATAAAGTTATTTATATGTGAAAATGTTTTGTTATTTATTACCAAGTATAATGTGTAAGAGAATAACTAGTAATTCGAAGGATCACGAAGTATGAATAGAATTTCTCTGATAAATTTTCGTAACATGATGAATTCGAAATTATAAAAGTTGCATTGCTAGCGTTATTCTATTTCGTTGGAAATAAAAATTTTGTGATTCTATTTATTTCGAACTAATGCATTAATATTGATGTATTTTCGTTAGATGTCGCCATCGGACTGAACATGAATTTACGCGGTTAAGGATCGTTCGAGCTCTAAATTGATTCTAGATGAGTTGCATTAATTAATATTTGCACAAAGTTTCATATCTTTCAAATATTTTAATTTATATCAGATTGAAATTTGTGTACTAAATATTGCAAAGTTTCGCTACAGTTTTCTTTTTTATGAACCTTAATCATTGTTTTAAGAATGTTACAAAATGTATGGTTATAATTTGAGATTTCAGAGCCGCGAATACTTGTACAAATGGATTTATTTGAATATATTATATGTATTTAGCCTATATGCTCAATAAAGTACAATTTAAAAACCTACCTCTGAAAATAACATAATTATGTAAATTCACAGTGGCTCTAACAATAATTGAAGTGTTTTCAATAATGAACCATATATATTTTTTAAGGTTATAAATCATCCAACACTCAGAGCACAATTGTTACGATAGAAACGAATGCACTAACCATTGAATTTCTTTACTTTCTAGTTACATTTTTATCCAATCACAATTCCTTCTTTATACGAACGATTTCGCGCTCTTTTAAATATAACGCACTGTACGATGTTGCCAAATACGTCATATAAATCACCTTTGTTTTCTATTATCTACGATTTTAACGACTAAATAATGTTATTTTCTACAATAATATATTAATAATCACTATTTTTATGAATGAAGCAAATATTGGAGCACAATACTTAAATATACTTGTTTGATATTGTGTTTCATTGCAATAAAGCATATAATTTGACAACATCGCATCATATCTCAAAATCAGTGTGAAATAAACTCGTAATTCTTATTGAATTCTCAAAAACCATTTGGTATATAAAATGTCATCTAAACAAGGTTCCAATGAAAAGTATAATCCAGATGATATAATTAAAATTTTAGTTGCAACCGATATTCATCTTGGTTTTGAACATAACAAAAAGGGAGGTTGGTTCCTATAACATTTATTTTCAAAAAAGTTTGGTACATTATATACATCACAAGATAAATTCAAAAAAATATTCTATGAAAAAAATTAAAATTTATTATCTTTATGATTGAAATAAAATTATACTGCTTTGAGTATGATACTAATACTGTTATTTATTAATTAACTAAAGGACAAAAAATTGAAGATAGTTTTACAACTTTTGAAGAAATACTTCAATATGGTAAAGAGAATGAAGTTGACTTTGTACTTCTTGGTGGAGATTTATTTCATGATACCAAGCCATCACAAACTGCAATGATAAAATGTATGGAACTATTAAGGAAATACTGTTTAGGTCCAAGGTAAGCACAATAATTTTGTATCATTTTTTAACATATTTCAACTTAATTATGTACTACTTGGCAGGGAAGTAAAAATTCAGTTCTTAAGTGATCCAGAAGTTATATTTCGGCATTGTATGTATAAAACTGTAAATTATGAAGATCCAAATTTAAATGTTAGCATGCCAGTATTTTCTATCCATGGAAATCATGATGACCCAAGTAAGACAGTATTTATTTTTCAATTGTAATGAGATTTAACATATTTAACATATCTTTTATTCCTAATAAAATGATAGGTTTTGGAGCTATTGGCTCAATGGATTTGTTATCAGTATCTGGTCTAATAAATTATTTTGGAAAATGGACAAATCTTTGTCAAGTAACTATTCCTCCTCTAATAATAAAGAAAGGTGAAACTCATATTGCACTCTATGGTTTAAGTTACATAAGTGATCAAAGATTAGCACGATTACTAAGAGATTATAAGGTAAAACTATAAGAAATATATTTATGTAAGATTATGTGGTTGTATTATTTTCTTTAACAGGTGTTACTTTCTTACAGGTTAATATGTTATGTCCAAAAGAAATACCAGATTGTTTCAATATATGTGTTTTACATCAAAATCGTGCAAAGCATGGTGACTATGCATATATTCCTGAAAATAAACTCCCGAATTTCCTTAATTTCGTTATATGGGGTCATGAACATGAGTGCCGCATCACACCAGAATATATTTCAGACACTGAATATTTTATTTCACAACCAGGTGTATTACATGTTCCTTAAGTTATCTAAAATATGCAAATATGCAAATATGCAAATATGCAAATATTATGTGTCAAATTGTATATTTCCCTTTACTTAACAGTTCAAATTGCAGGAAGTTCTATTGCAACCTCCTTATGTGAAGGTGAAGCAAAACCTAAACATGTTGGTATCTTAACTATATGCAAGACGAATTTTAAAATGAAAGAAGTGAACCTAAAAACTGTCAGACCATTTGTCTTTGATAACTTGATTCTTCAAGATGAGAACATACCAAAAAATTATACTGAGTCACTTTCTGCATCTGTGTGCAATTTTGTTGATAATTACATAGAAAATGAACTTATACCTAAAGCTGCTGCACAATTGACTAATCATCCTAAACAACCTATTCAGCCCTTATTACGTTTAAGAATATTTTATAACTCTGAAGAAGAAGTATTTGATGGAATTAAGTAAAATTCAACTTTATACTACCTAAACACATGAAATACCGTGGTTAGTACGTTAAGTGTATAATTGTAATGTATTGCAGATTGGCACAAAAATATTGCGATGAAGTTGCTAATCCTATGGATATGATTATATTTCGTAAACAAAAAAATTTAAACAAAGTATCAAAATCAAACTTATCAAATTTGAATGACGAAATGGACGATGTGGAACAAATTCTTTCTTATGATGATGTAAACACAAACTTACTTATACTACCAATGTTATATTTTGTTAATCTTTCAGTTTAAAATTATAAATATTTTAATTAGGATAATAGGGATTGGAACAAAACTGTACAAGGAGGAATAAAAAAGCACTTCAGTTTGGAGGAAAATAGAGATAAACTGACAGTATTAACAGTTAATGGTTTAAATGAAGCATTAAATCGATTTGTTGATAGAGGAGATATAGATGCGTTTAAAGATGTAGTAAGGTAAAATACTTAAAGCTAAACAATTAAAAATTGCATTCAAATATATTTTAAAACATGTTATTACTCATTTTTAATATTCAGTCATCAAATGAAAAAAACCATTGCACGAGATAAAAGGTTGGAAGAAGAAGATGAAGAACAAGTGCAGGTTTGTTTAAATTAGGAAAGTTATTGCAATTTTATATAATATATAGTTTTGTATGTTATTATTATTTCATAGATACAAGAATTGTTTAATAAATCGAAAAACAGAGCAGAGAAGAATTTAGAAAGCGATTTAAGAAAGGATTCCGATGACAACTGCAGTGACGATGATGAAATTCGTAGTATGAAGCCCACAACCAAAGGTACAAGAGGTAGAGGAGCAACTAGGGGCCGAGGAAGTGGTCGTGGTAAAAGTAAAGTAAATGAAAAGAATCCCCTCGATGTCACAACTACATCACGTCAATCTAAAGTTCAACAAGCAAAAAGACAGACAAGAAAGCAGGTATATTGTACAAATTCTTCAAACTAAATATGTACATATGATTTTTTTTTGTACAGTATCAATAATTATTCTATTATATTTCTTGCTATCAGAATGAAAATACATTACAAAATTACATGGGATTATCAAGCCAAACTAAAACAAAGGCTTCGAACATGGTAATTATATCTGATTAATAAATTAATTTTTTATATGAATTAAATGTTAATATAACTTATTTATTTTCCCTGAAAATATGATATCTTTAATTTGTTTTTCTGCATGTGTATGACTACGATTTATATTTCGACTTTCGATACTATCGAAATAGGACTCGATTCTTATGCGCCGGAAATTATCTTTCTTTAGACTTCCTGCGTGATCGCGTTATATCAGTGAGTTTCAGTAGGTTGAATTTACAGGTATTTTTATTTAGAAAACCTTTTACTTTTGAAAAAATAACATATTAAATAGACACAATAAATGTATTTGCACGAGTTGTGTTTAAATTCTATTTTTCTTATTCTTTTGACATTAAGATGCAATTGGATGAATTTTACGTCGTGTGATTTCTGTATATTGTGAACACTGTCAAGACATAACCTTTAAAATATCCAAACTGTTTATACTAATTTCAAGTTATCAAACAACTGTAGTTTAAGCAATACAATAATAGTGAATGTATATATTTTTAAAGGAGTAAAATATTTTGTGCAGAAATGCCGCCGAAGAGGGGAAAAGTACAAAAAGAAGAAGTTCAAGTGTCGCTTGGACCTCAACTCCGTGAAGGTGAAGTTGTTTTCGGTGTTGCTCATATTTTTGCGAGCTTCAATGATACATTCGTCCACGTAACTGATCTTTCTGGCAGGTATGTTTAATATTAATCGTAAATATTAGTATTCAGTTTTTCATATTTAAAATTTAATAAAATTTATTCTCATAGGGAAACTATTGCCCGAGTTACTGGTGGAATGAAAGTCAAAGCTGATCGTGATGAAGCTTCTCCTTATGCCGCTATGCTTGCTGCTCAGGTAAAGAAGTAAACTATAATATTAATTTTATACAGATATAGCCACATTCAGGCAGCTTCTAAATGTTATTGTATAATCATAGAAGCGTTCATGTTTGTGGTACATTAAGTTCTTTCTCAATATAGAAGTGTGTTTATATTAATCACATTTCTTTACTTGAAAAATTACATTTTATGTAAAAAAAAGTATTTAATTAAATAATAAGTAATAAATTTATAATTGTGAAAACAATAATGTTTTTGTTTTTAATAGGATGTAGCAGAAAAGTGTAAATCCCTTGGAATTACAGCACTTCACATTAAGTTAAGAGCAACAGGGGGTAATAAAACAAAAACCCCTGGCCCTGGTGCACAATCTGCTTTGCGCGCGCTCGCACGTTCTAGTATGAAAATTGGTCGTATTGAAGATGTCACGCCAATTCCATCTGATTCTACACGTAGGAAGGGTGGTCGTCGCGGACGCAGGCTGTAATTTATGCTTCTGTGCGTGGTTCATTCATTTTCGAAAATAAATATTTAAAAAAGAAACTGTATT